TAGTCTCCTCCTTGGCTGCAGTGGTCTGTGTCCCCGCTGCCTCTGCCGATACAGGCAGGGAGAGCAGCAAAAGGGACACAGACCGCTGCAGCCAGTACCGGCAGGGAGAAAAATGGAGGAGCTGAAAATCAACTAATCCATAATGAGAATCGTTGACAACGATTCTCATTATCAATGTTATCAATTAGTTGTTTCAGCCCTAAACGCTCCCTCCAACCCCTCCTCTCCTCCGTCTGAGTATTATTTGACTACAGATTTATTTTTAAAAAAATCATATTTAGCACGGTCTTATTTTGCTATGCCACAAAAGCACTACAGATAAAGTAATCTCTGACATATCTTTTCTGCTCTGTAATCCATTCACTTTAGAGCTAAATTTTCTGTCTATCATCAAATAATGAAATTTAACAAATCTCTATAAAATAGTGGACTCCAGTGCGGATTCTTCTAGACTGTCCTCAACAAAATGTACTTTTCCACTACCTCAAGTATACATTCCTCATAGGCTGTGGTACACTTGATACTCAATGCAGCAAAATTAACTGACAATTTGTAAATAAAGAATCCACTTGGGTTGTATCCAGGAACATACACTGGGGGAAATATATTGACTCCCGGACCGTAGGGTCCGAATATGGGAGAAGGGAAACCGGGAGGTTGGTTTCGGGAAGGAACACCCTACATAAGACCCTATCCAAGATTAGGCCCAGATACTCAAAGTTGGATCCAGTGCGGATTTCTTTAAAATTTAGGACCCAAGAGATTTAGAATGTCTGCAGCGTCTACACTGTTTGTTGGACATTGGCTGATGGATTCTGGACTGATAGTTCCTTTAGCAAGGAATTGTGCAGGTATCCCAAACTGGTGGTTCCCTGAAAACGAAGAAGAGCTAGAACAAGCACTAGAACCTTGGGGGAAGACCTGGAGGTGCCATGGACAGACCAAAGGGAAGGGCAACCAAATTGTAATGCTGTAATTCAAAAGCAAAATTCAGATAGTGTTGAAGTGGCGGGGAAATGGGGATGTGCAAGTAGTCATTCTTGATGACTAGAGGCCAGAAAAATTCCCTGGTTAAAAGGCAAGCAATGACTGACCAGGCACATTCCATGTAGTGGAACCTCTGCTAAGAAGTCGGGAAAAAATAGGATTTTTGTACTCACCGTAAAATCCTTTTCGCTCCGTTCATTGAAGTACACAGGGCAACAGATCGTAGATCCTGAATGGTAGGGTATATCGCAACCTGGAGGAGTAGGACGCTAGGCACATAACCAAAAAAAAAGAAGACAGCCTAGGGGCGGCCCCTGCTGGTGGCCCAACCCCTCACTTGCTGACAAGTCTCCAGTAAGTAACAAGCAGTTAGGAGTGTACACCCCATAAAAGAGGGCGGGACCTGTGTCCTTCAATGAACGGAGAGAAAAGGATTTTACGGTGAGTACAAAAATCCTATTTTCTCTCCCGTTCATTGAAGGACACAGGGCAACAGATCGTAGATCCTAAATGGTAGGGACGTCACCAAGCAGTACACACTGAGGGATGGGCAACAACAACCAAACACCCAAAAGACACCTCAAATAGCCGCCTGCAACACATTGCGCCCCAAACCAGCATCCTCCGATGCCAAAACATCCACCTTGTAAAACTTAACAAAAGGTGTGAACAGAAGACCAAGTAGTGGCCTTACAAACCCGAGAAACAGAGGCCCCATGTCGGAAAAAGCCCAGGAAGCCCCAACAGCCCTAGCAGAATGGGCAGTGACAGGAAATGGAGGCTCACGCCCCTTAACGGCGTACGCCTGAATCACAACATTACGTATCCACCTAGATGGTAGCCGCCGACGCGGCCCGACCCGTACGAGGGCCCTCCGTGAGCACGAACAGGGAGTCGGTCTCGCGGAAAGAAGCCGTAGCTTCCAAGAAAACACGAAGAGCGCGAACCACATCCAAACAGTGGAGCGCACGCTCCTTCCTAAAGGACCGGCTTCGGACACAGGGAAGGCAAGACAATGTCCTCATTCAGATGGAATGCCGACACAACCTACGGCAGGAACGCCGGCCGAGGACGGAGAACCGCCTTGTCCCGATGCAAAACCAGCAACAGGGACTTGCTCCGACACCCGCCGAACGGAAGTGATAGCCACCAAAAAGGCCACTTTCTGTGACAAAGACATAAGCGGAATCTCCTAAAGAGGTTTAAACGGGGATTCCTGCAACACTGAAAGCACGAGATTCACATCCCACGGAGCCAAAGGCGAGCGGACAGGGGGAGCGATGCGCGTCATCCCCTGAACAAAAGGTGAGAACCAGAGCACTAGACGCCAAAGGCCGCTGGAAAAGCACCGCCAAGGCAGAGATTTGGCCCTTCACAGTACTCAAGACCAGCCCCTGAGCCACCCCGCACAGCAGGAATGCAGGGATTCAGCTGATGGAGAATAAACGCGGGGGCAGGGCCCCAGCCTCACACCAGGCAAAATAGGCCCTCCACGTGCAATGGTAAATCCTTCCAGAAACCGCTTTGCGCGCTCGGAGCACAGTGAAAATGACCGCATCGGACAACCCCCGGTCCTTCAGGACCTGGCTCTCAACAGCCACGCCATCAAAGCCAGCGACTGCAAGAAGGATGGAACACAGGTCCCTGGGACAGACGATCAAGGCACAGAGGCAGCCGACACGGGGTGGCCACCCCCAGCTGAACCACGTCCGCGTACCACACCCTCCGAGTCCAGTCAGGGACCACGAGGATGACGGTGGCACCCTCAGCCGCGATCCAACGCAGCAGCCGAGGCCACAGATACAGAGGGGGAAAGGCGGAAACCAAACCGTAATCCCAAGGAGCCACCAGGGCATCCACGGCCTCCGCCCAGGGATCCAGGGCCCGGGCCACAACCCTGTCCACCTTCCGGTTGAACCGAGACGCCAGAAGATCCACCTCCGGCGTCCCCCAGCGACAACAGAGCTGCTGAAAAACGTCCAGGTGCAGAGACTACTCCCCCGGATTCCGCGACTGTCGATAGAGGCAATCGGCCTGCCAATCGTCCACCCCCGGGACGTAGACCGCCGAGAGAGCCAGGACTCGATGGTCCGCCCAGGAGAGAATCCCGATACCTGTACGGTCACGGCGCCCAGGACCCCGCCCCAAAGGCTGGCGTCCGTGGTGACCACCGTCCAATGCACGGGAAGGAAAGGACTTCCCCTGCACCAAGGCCGGAGATTGAGGCCACCACCACAGGGAGGCCCTCGCCTCCCGAGATATCCGAATCTCCCTGTCCAAGGACAGGGAGGACTTGTCCCACTGTACTAGAATGTTGCGCTGCAGGGTCCCGGTATGATGTTTCGCAAAAGGACACTGCCTCGAAGGAGACCACCATGAGACCCAGGACCTGCATGCAAAGCTGAAAGGGGCGAACACAGGCGAGTCCTCAGTAGCCGGACCATGGAACGGAGCCTGTCCCGAGGAAGAAAGACCCGGGCCGTGACAGTGTCCAGAACCAAACCCAGAAACTCCAGGCGTGGAGAAGGCACCAGGCAAGACTGTCGCAGGTACAGAAGCCACCCGAACTTCTCCAAGGACCGCACCGCGACCTCCAGAGCCGTCACCATAGAAGAATGCGACTCCGCCCGTAGGAGCAGATCGTCCAGGCACCCCACGATCGGAACCCCCCCCCTCGACAACGCAATAGCGCCAGGATCGGGGCGAGCACCTTGGTGAACACCCGTGGGGCCGACGCCAGCCTGAAGGGCAGCACCACAAACTGAAAATGGTCCCCCCCACCGCGAAACGAAGACACCGCTGATGAGACTCGCAAACGGGTTAATGAAGGTATGCAACCCGGATATCGATGGAGGCCAGCAGGTCTCCCTGACGGAGCCAGGTCACCACGGACCGGACCAACTCCATCCGGACACCGACGGAACCGCACCAAGGTGTTCAAGCGTTTGAGGTCCAGGATGGGCTGCACCCCCACTTTCGTGGGCACAGTAAACAGGTCTGAATAAAACCCTTTGAACCTTTCCGGGGACGGAACCGGCACAACCACCCCCTGGAACAAAAAGGTCCGCCACAGCGCTACGGAGATCCGCCAACCGCGAAGGAGAGAGTCGCGTGTTGGACAGGAAGAACCGGTCTCCCAGATGGGACCGAAACATGAGCTTGTAGCCCGAAGAAACCAGCTCCCGGACCCAAGAGTCGTCGACGTGGGCCAGCCAAAAATCCGCAAAGAGCCAAAGGCGCCCCCCCACCCTGGGAACCAGAGCCGGGGCCCGACCTTCATTCAAACTGGGGCTCGGCAGACGTGGGCTGCCATGGACGCTTGGAAGCTTGGGAAGAGGAGGATTTGTTAAAACTTACCACCCTAGGTCGGAGGGCGGGCGAAAAAGCCGCTTGTGAGCGGAGAAAGTAGGCCCAGGCTTCCAGCGCGGTCCCTTCTTGCGCGCCTGGGGAAGGAAGGTACGCTGACCCCCCGTCAGAACCTTAAGGACCACACCCAAGGTGGAACCAAACAGACGGTCCCCAGGAAAGGACAACTCCTGTAGAGCCTCCTTGAAAGCCTGAGCAGCCGATCAGCACGTAAGTCAGAGCAAACGGCGATGCGTCACTGCCGACACCAACACCCTGGACACCAAAGGGTGCCGCATCCAAGGCCGAATTGCAGACATAACGAAGGCCTTGCACCACTGATCCGCTAATGCCACGAAAGCGGGGGAGACACTCTCCACCGCAATACCCTGATGTAACATCCTAGCCCACTCAGAGTCTGAGGGACCAAAGCCAAGACCGGACGCATGAGAGCGCCCGAGACAGAGACCGCAAAAGCGGCGCAGCCTTCCTATCGGAAGGGTCCTTAAAGGACGGAGAATCCTCCACCGGAAGAACCGTGGCCTTGTTCAAACAAGAGACCGGTGGATCCACCCCTGGCGGGGAAGACCACTTAGACACAAAGGCCCCCTCTAAGGGGTAGCGAACCGAGAACCGCTTAGGGACCACAGAGGACTTAGTAGGCCGTTTCCACCCTTCATAAAGGGGAAGGAAACACCTTGGCAGAACGCCGACACATATGCGTCCCAAACTGCACGTGCGGCAGCGTGGAAGTGCTGGCAATGTCCTCAATTTTAAGGGTCTCCCTGACAGCGCCGAGACCATTTCAGGTTCCCGGACCAGGAGCGTAGACGCAGCCTCATCCTCACTGGTCGGATGAGGATGTGAGGAATCCCCCGGATCAGAATGAGGTGACGTCGTGGGGAGTTCCCCCTCCTCATCGGACTCCCCTGACAAGGCAGGGGATGGCAAGGGCAGAACACGCTTCCTAGGTGGGCGCTGCGTCAAGGCGCGCTCCATGCGCATCACAAACCCATCCATGGCAGAGGAAAAATATTCCAGGGACAATGCGGTACCACCCACCCTCCGGTGGAACGCACGGGCGACAGGCAAAGCAGCGCAGGCGGACAGGACCCACAAAGAGGGGGTCTAGAGGGGTCCGCATAGCGCAGCCCACAACCCTCACAAGGCAATGCAGGAGAGTCATCCCTGCGATCCGCAGAAAAAAACACCCCACTGACCGGAGACCACCAGGCAAGGGGAAGAGGGACCCTCAGTAATTCAAGACCCTCAGCATTTGTTCCGGCCCAGATGTCTGACCCTGCAAGTCGGAGGAGCTCTGCACGCTGTATCCATAGGCGTCGGTGAGGACCACCCGTCGCAGCCGACCCACCGTAGCAGAGTCTGCATGCGCTCGTCGGTCACCCAGGGGAGACTACAAGGATCTACAGTCATCCAGCCTGTCGCCCTGGGGACACTTGCTAGAAGAAAATCATGTCAAAACGGAAGAAAGGAAAAAAAAATTGTCCAGAGAATTTTTTTTAGCTCCTTACTCCTGACGCTAGGCAAAAAACTGGAGACTTGTCAGCAAGTGAGGGGTTGGGCCACCAGCAGGGGCCGCCCCTAGGCTGTCTTGTCTTTTTGTTATGTGCCTAGCGTCCTACTCCTTTAGGTGGCGATATACCCTACCATTCAGGATCTACGATCTGTTGCCCTGTGTCCTTCAATGAACAGGAGAGAAATGTATATTTGTCACATTGTAAGACAAATCCTTTGGCTTTCAGGCATTGTGTAATATTTCCCTGCTTCTATGATGCAGAAGCTTCAGCAATAGTGCCCTTGGGGTCGCTCTGGTGGTGGAGCCTGGGAAAGCACAAAAAGATGGGTGAAATTTTCTCACCAAAACTCCTCAAGCCATTTTCACAAAGTCTATAGGAGACGCACCCAAAGGCGCCTATGCTCAGGAAAGCACACTAAACAGATATTGTTGTGTCACAGCCTATTCTCCATATCCTCATTCTAACATCATGGCTATCAAAATGTATTCTGTGTAGCATCCAGGCCCTGTTTAAGGGGAATCCTATCTTCTACTAGGCTGACTCTGCCTTCTAAGGCTGTGGTGCGTTCTCTGACCTTTGGACGATCGCGACTCAGGAAGTCTTTAGTGACCTTTAACTGATCAGACGACATTGTAAGCAAAGAAGCTTTACACATAATAATGGCAACCAGTATTTCCCCATGGGTAGGCTCTGGTTCCTCAGTCTCTGTGTTTAGAGACCGTACACAGTGGCTTCAACAACCACAGTGGCGTCAACAACCTTAGAAGATGTAGCCCAGACATTCTCTCCCCTCTCGAGCAGCTCATTCACTAAGGATCCCGTCACGCTTCCATCTGGCTAACCTCCTTGCTAGCACACGCTAAGTGTTATTTGTGGTGATGAGAATGGCTGATCACACTGTGGGCGCATATATCAAACTCTACCATCCCAGCACAAGGAACTTACCTGAAAGATGTTAATTTACAGTTTGGAAGGGGGCGCAGCATAGAGTTAAATGTGCAGTTTTAAAAAAATGATCTTTTATTAGAGTTACTTCCATAAAATTATATTTTACAAATAAACAATTAACATACAGTGCTTCCAACACATTTACTGTGCAAAGCATTCTGGGTTTGTGAATTGGAAAGACTAGCACTGCCTTTTTACTGGACTTCCACTAGCAATCTATACACACCTGTAAAAGCTAACAGAAAGAGATGGTTTGGAAATGTCTCTTTCCAGACTCAATCAGGTGCATGCTTTGTGAATCCAGTTGTATAGTAGATCAAACTTCAAAGGCAATTAACAGCCATATATTCCTACAAAAAAACCCTGACAATTGCAAAATAGATCATATACACCCCTTAACACCGCCTCTATTTAGTATGGATTATATATTTTATGTAAAAGAGAACTATGGCCCAACCTTTTTTGCCATAGTTCTCTAGGGTCACAGGAGGACCTATACTAATGTCCTCCTGTGACCCAAAACTCTGCATATAGCAGGCTACTGCCCACTATATGGCGACAGCACAGAGCCTCGCTGCAGCTGGGATGAATCTTGACAATATTGTAGGGATCAATCCCGCTGCCTGATTAACAGCTGGCTCTGCAGGGAGATGATCGCAAACTGATCAGTGACATGTGATCGCTCAGTTCTCGATCAATAGAACCAACGTGTGACAGCTTTAGTGTCACGCGTCGGCTCTAATTATGGGGATGAGTGGATTTCACTATCCCCATTATTTTCCTTTAATTCGGTCTTGCACATCTATAAAAAACGATTGAGAGTAAGTAAATTATAGGACCAATAAACTGCTCACCTTGGCATTTTCCAGCTCATGAAGCTCAAGCTGAACTGTAATCATTTCTGAAGACATTGTTTCATGAGCACGTTCAGACATCAATCGAAGTTCCTCAGATTTATTAGCCACCACAATAATCTGATGGTCTAATTTTTGATGTAATTGTTTTTCACTCAGTCTTGCTTCATCCAATTCAGCTTTTAGCTTCTCCATCTTTATACAGAAACGGAAAAGATTCAACATCACGTTACTTTTAAACAATCACAAAAGAGTCACATTTGATGTTACAATTCCAATATACAGAAAAATATGATATCAAGGAAGCATACTCCGGAGCTTGCCCTGACCTGCGATGGGCAAGCTGATGTGACCTCAGCTTGCCCTGACCTGCGATGTGAGCAGAAGTGAAATGTGACGTATTCCATCAACAACAGTGGCCCTGGGATGGGTTCTTCTCCAAATCTTGCCCTTTCCCCCTCCATCCCGTGCTCCTCCTTAACCTGTAGGTGTCTCCCTGAACACTGACTGGAATGAAGATAAAAGCATGACAGGAATAGCACACACCACAGTGGAAGAATTGATAAGGCGAGGGGCAAAGAGTTAGTAACCAGGCTGGAGCGGTTTGCTTGCAGCCAAGGAGATATTCAGTAAGGTAAATAGCTTCTGAAAGTGCTCCCAAACGGAGCGCAAGCCCATACTGATATATGTGACTTGACCTAGAAGAAGATAATTGACTCTCAGGGCACACAGCGGGTACATTTGCTTAGGTTTGTATTCCTGAACAGAGTCAAGGAACCTACACAGAAAATTTTTTTGGTGCTGCGCTCCTCGGTCAGAATTTAAAGACCCAGGCTGAGGAAATTAGGAATGAAACAACATTTTAAACAATGACTGGACAAACTTTGTAACCAAATGTGGTCCGGGAAATGCAGAGAACGTGATATGAAGGATGTGGTTAACCCTTTAAAACAAGAGGTGCATGGTTTGAAGGTGTAATCAAATGTGAACACTGACAAACTGGATGATACTGAAAATGGAGAACATCAGAATCTTATCAGAATTGTTGGGGTTCCAGAAAGAACTGAATGGGGGCCTTGAATCCCTCACCACCATCATCATTGCCCTGTGCCTACACTGAATCCCTCTCTTGCCCCTGCTGCCACCCTAGTTACCTGTACTCAGACTGAACCCCTCTGCAGCGACTGCCACCCTCATTGTTCTGTACCCACACTGAACCCCTCCCTAGCCCCTTCTACCTTTGTCACTACCCTGTTCCTACAATGAACCACTCTCTAGACCCTACCACCCCATCACTGCCCTATACCCACACCAAACCCTTCTCTAGATTCTGTTATGCTTATTATTGCACTGTACACACACTGAACCCCTCTCTAGCCCCTCATACCCCATTACTGCTCTGTATGCAAACTGAACCTTTCCCTTGTCCTTGCTACCCAATCACTGTCCTTTCATAATTAATACAACAGAATAACAACATTTGCAGAGTGTCACAGTCAATTACATATTATTTGGGGTTGAATAAAGACATAAGTCCATCAAGTCCAACCCATATAGGTCCACGCTTAACTCATTCTTAGGAACACTTGTACCCCTGAATATTACGGTCCCTCAGGAAATCATCCAAAGGTTTCTTGAACAATTCCACACTCTTAGCTGAAATCACTGCCAGTGGCAGCGAGTTCCAGACCCTAACCGCTCTTACTGTGAAGAACCCCCTTCGCCCCTTGTGCTGGAATTTTTTCTCCACCAATTTTAGGTGGTGGCCTCTAGTCTTTGTAATGGAGTTAAACTTAAAGAGTTTGTTGCCAATGTTGCTGTCACCATTGAACATCTTGTACATGAAAATCATATCCCCCTTAATCTCCTTACTTCCAACGTGAACATGTTTAAATTCAGTAGCCTTGTCTCATAGCTCTGGTCCTCCATTCTCCTAATTAGTTTGGTTGCCCTCCGCTGGAGTCTCTCCAGCTTAAGGACATCCCTTCTTAGTACCGGCGACCAAAACTGGACCGCGTACTCCAGATGCGGCCGAACCAATGATCTATAAAGTGGCACAATTACTTGTCTCTGCAATACATCCCCTTCTTAATACAGGACAAGATCCTACTAGCTTTGTTTACAGCAGCCTGGCACTGCAAGCTACCATTCAATTTGTGTTCTACAATGACCCCCAAATCTTTTTCCATTTCTGACTTCCCTAGTGGCATACTCATGATGGTATAGCCCAGTGGTGGCCAACCTTGGCACTCCAGCTGTGCCAAAACTACAAATCCCAACATGCATCTGCCTCTGGGAGTTATGTCTGTGGCTGTCAGAATCTTGCAATGCCTCATGAGACTTGTAGTTACAAAACAGCTGGAGTGCCAAGGTTTGCCACCACTGGTAAAGCCCGTTTATTTTTATTTCCAAAGTGCATTAATTTGCATTTGTCGATATTAAACCTCATCTGCCATATTTTATCCAGGTCCTCCTGCAATGTTATATTGTCACGATCCGTTTCTAATACCCTCCCTATTTTTGTATTGTCTGCAAACACAGAAACATGGCTTTTCACTCCCACCCCGATATCATTAATAAATAGGTTGAACAATATGGGACCCAGCACAGATCCTTGAGGCACACCGCTCATTACACTAGCCCGGTCTGAAAAGGTGCCATTTATAGATACTCTCTGGACACGTTCCCATAGCCAGTTCTCCATCCACGAACACACCACTTCAGCTATGCCCATAGCTCTCAGCTTTTGCATTAAGCGTTTGTGTGGTACCGTATCAAATGCCTTTGAGAAATCCAGATATACCACATTTACCGGCCTCCCTCCATCCATATCTCTACTTACCCCCTCATAAAAAGTTAGCAAGTTAGTCAGGCAGGAACGGTCCTTCCTGAACCCATGATCTACAATGACATCAAGGCCCAGTCTCCTTTCCTGTCAGGGTAGCTTATGTTCTCCAACAGCTGAATTACAAGTCTCAGCTAGTCCTGCTGGTCTCAGTTAGATAATTGGACTTGCAGTTCCTCAAAGTTGGGGCTTGCATCTGGTTGGGGTGCTCTAGGCAGAACATGGATGCTGGGTGCCATGGATGACAGGCTGCTCCTTCCCCACTCGGTCACAGGCGGTGCCTGCTGAGCCCTGAATTCAGGCTAAAAGCCCATGCTTTCATGCTCAGGTAAGCGGTGTTTGGAGCGATTGCTGTGGAGCGATTGCTGGGGAATAGAATATAGTCAGTCAGTCATGGAGACAGGTGCATCTACTGCTGGACCAGCCATATTCCCAGTCGCCAGAAAGTTTGGGAATTCTCCAGCCCTGCTTTATATCAATAGGGAATGATGGTATTTTGTATTAAAACATATATATTCTGCGATTAGATTTGTGTAAGATACATTGAAATAACCATCCCCCCCCACAAATATATATTTTTAATTCGATTAGTTCTATGTATAAAGTTTCTAGGATTGCACAAGAGATGGCAGATGTCACTGAAGGTGATGCAATTTTACATTTAGTAAAACATTACCAACTAGCTATAAAAGTTGTTTACAGGTGACACATGCAATGCCAGATACAGTATTTGCAAAGGTTAAATAATACCATTTACTATACTCAACTAACTACAAGGTTTACACTCTTGTTTATTAATTCATAGTGTTTGCAAACTTACACATAAGCTGTAACTCACTTGCATTCAGAAACAGGTGGAATCTAAAACGGTAGATGTGTATTTTTTGTATGGATCACTAAATGTATAATTGGGAATATTTATATTCCGCCACCATATTCCAGCGGAGTGACAAAACTTCTAAGTTTGTATTGAATAAACAATGAGTTTTTTTGTAGCTGCAGGAGATTTTAATAAATTTCTAAATGTCAGAAATGGATAGACATCCTGTCCTGGGGCACAGATCCCTAGTTGTTTTTTTTTTATTCTTGGTAAATTGCAGGAATGTGAGTTAATAGATGTTTGGGGTGCACCAGCGGGAGAAATATTCTTGTTTTTCCAAGTCGCATTCAATACTATCTAGGATAGATTCAGCAGCTGGTTCTTCTAATATATTGTATTAATATTAATCAATAACAGTGATAACATGGGTAGGGAAATCGGATTATTCTCGATTAACAATAGAATTTAAAAATAACTGTATGGATCACTACTTTTTGGAGATTAAATCTTTTTGGTTTAAAATGGTTTCCAGCATCCGACTCCATCTGAGCTTATTTTTTTTAAAAGATTGAATAACTCTGTGGCCTCTTGGTAATTTGGGAAGCCTTAAAAGAAGCATCTTCCAAGATTTTTTGTGAAACAGATTTTAACTGTTAAAGCTAAAAAGTATGAAAGAAGAATTTGATGGCACAGGTGAATAGAGAGGAGGAGGAATATATTAGTTATCTTTTATTTCTTTAAATAACTGGGAAGCAGCACAGGCTTTAGTGAGAACTGCATTGAAGAAACTGGAAAATATACTTTCTTCGAAACATTATTTTGAAAAGGAAGATAGTTGATTATTTGTTATATATTATGCAATATACAACATACACTGATCAGCCATAACATTATGGCCATTCAGAGGTGAAGGGAATAACATTGATTATCTAGTCACAATGGCAACTGGAAGTGGGTGGGAAATATTAGACGGCAAATTAACATTTTGTCCCTGAAATTTAAGGATATTAAGCGACCACAAAAGGGCCAAATTGTGATAGCTAGACATTTGGGTCAGAGCAGCTCCAAAACTGCAGGATGTTCCCGATCTGCAGTGGTCAGGACCCACTAAAAGTGATTCCAGGAAGGAAAACTGGTGAACCAGTGGCAATGGATGGCCAAGGCTCATTGGTGCACATGGGGAAAGAATGCTTGCCTGTGTAGTCTGATCCAATAGAAGAGCTATTGTAGGTCAAATTGTTGAAAATGTTAAAGCTGGTGTCAGACTTCTGTGTGGTATGATCCTGCACCGGGTTTGCCTCCTGTCCGAGCAACTCGGCTTCCTGCCAAGCTGCTCTGATCCTGTTATAAGACCAGCTCACTTGTTCTTCGGCGTTCGAGCAACGTGTCTTTACACTACACCTGGACCCACTTTGAACTTGTTCCTTTGGATCCTTACAAACCTTTACTTACTGGTGATTACTGCTCCCTGTGATCACGTATTTCCAACAAGAGGATTGTTTTCACCAGCTTCAGTGAACTCTTGCATCTGTGATTACTCGCAAGTCTCAGTTCTGCTCCTGTGGCTCTTTGAACATTCAAACTGCTTCGCCTGTCCTGCCCATCACATGTCCTCTGCTGTTTACCAGCGCTTTGATTACTTTAATGTATGCTCTTTGTGTACTTTCATATTCTGTACTCCCGACCTGCTTTGCGTATACTTGCTTCCCCCCAGCTTGTCTTTGAACCCTGAACCTCAGTGCTGCAATTAGTCTCCTCTATCTGTGCTAAAGGGCCGCAACATGGGAAGAACACAATCATCCTTACCATCAGAGGCTCTGTGGAAGACCTGGCAATTCTTAGATTCTGCACCTCTTATGAGTCTTCACTATCGCACAGACACCTACTCCCTGTGTTCTCTGATCTGCATCCCAGGTACCCTTTTAGCTCACTACTTTAATCCGCTCCGTAAGCCCCGGAGCCTACTTCCTCTTGTGTCCTGGTCCTCAGACTGTGACAGCTAGCTCTGATAGGTGTGTCTGAACACACAGTGCATCACAGATTGTTGCATATGGGGCTGCGTAGCTGCAGACTGGTCAGGGTGTCCATGCTGACCTTTGCCCAGAGACAAAAGCGCTACAATGGGCATGTGTGCACGAAGCAAACAACATGGTGATCTGATCTAGTCTGATAAATCATGTTTTCTTTTACATCATGTGGATGGCTGGGTGCAGGTGTGTCGCTTAACTGGGGAAGAGATGGCACCAGGATGCACTATGGGAAACAGGCAAGCCAGCAGAGGTAGTGTGATGCTTTGGGCAATGTTCTGCTAGGAAACTTTGGGTCCTGCCATGTTACTTTGACAGGTAACACCTACCTCAACATTGTTGCTGACCAAGAACAACCCTTCCTGGCAATAGTATTCCCTGATGGCGGTGGCCTCTTGCAGAAGGATAATGTGCCCTGCCACATTGCAGAAATGGTTGAAGAAGAATGGTTTGAGGAACACAACAGAGTTTGAGGTACTGATTTGGCCTCAAATTTCTTCAGATCTCAATCCAAAAATCGAGCATCTGTGGGATGTGCTATATAAAAAAAAAAAAAAAAAAAAAAAAAAGTCCGATCCATGGAAACCCCTCCTTGCAAGAGAAAAGGATTTGGTGCCAGATACCACAGCATACCTTCAGAGGTCTAGTGGAGTCCATGCCTCGATGGGTCAGGGTTATTTTAGTGACAAAAGGGGGGACCTATTCGGCAGTGGTTATATTGTTATGGCTGCTCTGTGTAAATCATCAATTGTGTCCCCTAGCAACCATTTAATCGAATGTGTACATTGAAAGCATCCAAGATATACTCGCGTGACCCTCGAGCATGTCTAGCTGCTAGACTGGTCATTGCAGCCTTGCTCCCCCTCTGCACCTGTGGTGTAATTTCCCTTGGCGTCCTCACACACAGTACACTGTATTGGATGTGTTGACTCACGAGATTGTAGACCGCGGAAGCGAGGCTGCAGAGACTGGTCTAGCAGCCAGGCAGGCTTGAGGCTCTGGTGATAAAAACAATTGGAGTGGCGAGCGCACAACAGGTGTGGACAGTATGGAAAAACCTTAAATAGCTTTAAAAAAACTTTAAAAAGCACTTTCTTAACCTCTTGCCGTCCGCCCGTAGTAAAAAAACGGACGGACGGCACTGCAGCATCTGCGGGTTGCCGTCTCCAGACGGCAATTTTTTTCTGCTCGCGCGCGCCCCCTAGCGGGCACGCACGGGCAGAAAAGACCCGATCAATGCACACACCCGTTACCGGGTGTTTCACATATAGAATTTACACTATATCTTTTAACTGTTTAACTGTTAAACACCCAGTATTCCAGGGTTGTAGCGCTCCTTCTTTCGTTGTTTCACATTGAGGCTCTGGTGAGTAGATATTTGTTATTTTAGCTCTTTAGGCAAAATGAGCACTTAAGCCTTGCAGTGTGGATGTAGCCACACTGCAAGAGTTAAGATTTCATATGCTCAGAGTTCTTTAACTGCTATGCATGAGAAACTCCACTGTATTTTACATTTTAAATAAAAGAACACGACATAATAAGGTCTTAATATATAGTCTGACTCAAAAGTGTGCATACCCTTGGAGAATTGGTAATATAATGTACCATTTTTAAAGAAAACATGAGTGAGCAGTTCCCAATACTGTGTATTGCCCTCTTTAGCATCAATGACAGCATGCAGTCTTTTGTAAAAGTCGTCTATGAGGCCCTGAATTCTTGCAGGTAGCAAAGCTGCCCATTCGTTTGAGATCTCCCCAGAGTGGCTCGATGATATTAAGGTCAGGAGGCCGTGATGGCCACTCCAGGACCTTCACCTTTTCTGCTGTAACCACCTCAACTTCGGTCATCTTGGTCTTGTGCTCGGGTGCATTGTCGTTCTGGAAAATCCAAGAGTGTCCCATGTGCAGCTGTCATGCAGAAGAATGCAAAATTGTCTGCCAGTATTTTCTGATAACATGCTGCATTCATATCGCCATCAACTTTCAAAAGATTCCCCGTGCCTTTAGAGCTCACGACCCCCCAAAACAACCCCACACATCTTTTTTCCAGAAAAGCCTGTATTTCTCCCAAGGTTACCTGTGGGTTTTTCTTTGTATCCCGATCAGTTCTTCTGGTAGTTGTGGCTGCAATCTTTCTTGGTCTACCTGATCTTGGCTTGGTATCAAGAGATCCCCAAATTTCCCACTTCTTAATAAGTGATTGAACAGTACTGACTGGCATTTTCAATGCTTTGGATAACTTTTTATATCCTTTTCCATCTTTATAAAGTTCCATTACCTTGTTACGCAGATTGTTTGACAGTTCTATTCTGCTCCCCATGGCTCAGTATCTAGCCTGCTAAATGCATCTAGGCGAGAGCTAACAAACTCATTGACTATTTATACACAGACACCAATTGCAATTTAAAAAAGCCACAGATGTGGGAAATTAACCTTTAATTGTCATTTTTAACTGTACAGCGCTAAAAACCTTCCAATGATGTGCATATGATAGATATATATATATATATATATATACACACACACACCCACACACACACACACACATACACACACGTGAATAAAAAAATGTAAAACTATATCATCATTTATTATAACAAATCAGTGCAATTAGAAATCACCCTCCAGGCTGGTCCCGAGAAGCAGAAGAGGAAGAAGCTTTAGGAGGGGGAAAGACATAGATCATTTTGAACTAATGCCACAGAGTTTCTATAGCATCCACTGCAAAGCCAAGAGATCCCTGGTCCTGCAAATAAAAATCTGTCCAGTTTACTTTTGAACCTGGGCACCAGGAGGTCCATACCCTGAGTCACCCACCTGCGACTGGCGATTTGAAATCACTGGATAAGGAGACCATTTTCTCTGGGGCTGGGCGTTTATTACCTTAATGCAGAGAATTCATTAAGGTAGAAAACACGTAGCCTTTAGTACTACTTTAAGCTTCATGACTTTCTGTGGACACTGCACTG